CTTTTTCCTTTGAAATACTCCTATTTGCAATTGTCAGTAATTTAAGCAGAGACTGCTGAAGCCAAGCTGAACTGTAGAAATTTTCTTTATTTTTGTGCTAAAAAGAGACAATGGAATATAGCTGAAATGTGCTTGCCCTGTATTTATATTACATTTATACCCAAAAGGTCCAATTTATGACCGGGCATTTGGATTTAACATTGTTCAAAGAAGACTGTTAAAACTTAATAATCTAATGATAGACAAAACACACCGAAAGTGAGATCCAAAGTTCACTGAAGTCTTTGTGCCAAAAGTTTATCTTAGGGATTTAAAAACAGCAATATCAATTATCAGCTTACTTTTTTATTTCTCCAGTGCTGTAGGTTAAGAAGCTTAAAGAACTTGTAATTTTGAAGATCTGTGTGAAGAATGTACAGAGGAAAAGCTGAGTGAAAGAGCTGAAGGGCTTTATTTTTATTTAGTCAATATACTAGGAAACATAAGTAGGGTTGGTGAAAAAAAATAAGCTAATGAAAATTTTTCGGGTCTCTGTACATGTGAAATATTTCTAGGAGACATGGTCCAAGCATTAAGATATGGGATGTCAACTTGAAAAGCTACCTATATATTACCCAGGCACTTTAGAATGACTATGAAAACTGGGGCAATTGCTGTGCTATGACCTGGAGTCCGTGCGAGCGGACTACATGTTGCAGCACCAGAGCGCTGCAGCCAGTGCCCGTGTCCCGCGTGGAGACGTCTCCACGAAGCGGGACTGTCCCGCTCTCCGCACCAGCAAGGCAGAACCCTGCTGACTGCCTCCAGGATGGGATAACCACATCACCCAGTAATAAACCCAGGCAAAACTTGTAGCTTTCCGTGAATTAATGAAACTCTTTATCAGTCTGATCTGTGTTCACGAACTGAATTTGCATAGACATTAAAAATAGTATTGTAGAAATCACCTTTGAATCCTTTTTCTGCTTCAGATATTCAGGATATGCTCACCACAGTTGAGAATTAAAGTGGATGCTCATACAGCCCTGGATTACTGCACTGCAGAAGCCTGTGACTGAAGTACCTGGAGAATAAAATGTAAAGTTTAATCTTCATATTTTGCTCTGAAATTGTGAAATAATGATTAATGTGCTTAGAGTAGATGGTGCTTTGTTGATTAGCTCATCACATTTTAGAGTTTGATACACTATTGATACTTGTATTTTCCTTGTGTAGTGACTGTTAATATTGTATATAATTCTTACATAGTTTTAATACAAATCTATACACATATGTTTCTTTCCAGAGTTCTAAAAGTCTTAGATCCTGAGTCATTTCCACCTGAGAGCTTTTTTCCCCATCAACTCACTTTTATTATGTAAGTCTTGCAGGGAAGGGAAATAACCCCCAGTGTCTTCAAGTTAGTCTAGTCAAGTCAGGTGTCAAGTCGGTTAGTAGCCTAACTACTAAATCAGTGTCCATCTCCCGGACAGAGGTCTGTGAAAACTGCCAGTGTGAACTGAGGATGGGGCTGGCACTTGGTGTAAATAACCCTGCTGAAATCACAGGAGAATTTGTCCCCAGATAAGCTGAAACACGGCGAATAAGCAACTGCTGCTGAAGCAGAGCTACCCCGTAATTAATTTAAAAAGGGACTTTTTCACTCCCAAAGCCAAAATCAAAGTAGATGTAAATGGTTGTAGAACTAGTAGCTAGAAAAATCGTCTCAAACTATGAACAAATAAAATATATCAGTACTCATATTACATGGTAATCGCATTTTTACATGTTTTAGAGTTAAAAACCGAGAGCTTTAAACATTGTCATTTACAGTAAAAAAAAACAAACAAACAAACAAAAAAACCCCAAAACAACCAAAAACAAACAACCAAACAAAAAATCCGTTTGCCAGTATAACAAAGGTTCGAGAAAAGAGATGTGTTTGCAAGGCTCTTGGAAGCTGATTCAGACACGAGGCCAGTGCAGACAATGAATTCCGGCACTCCCCGTGCTCTCCCCTTTGCAGCCCCCCGGGTAGTTTAATCTGCTGACTTCTAGATGGAGCCCCCAGCTGCTCTCGCTCACCTCCGGAGTTCAGGCTGTCGTTTGGGTGGCTGGGAGCTTTTTGACGGTAGTGTTATTGTATGTGGACTTTTCTAAGATATGTGGCAGGTTAGCAACCCCTTTTCCTAAGACTAAACTTGCATTTAATTTCTTTTTTTTCCCCTCTTTGTTAAAGGCTGCCTACAGAATTTAAACAACTACTTTGTTTTTATCTGCTATCTGTAAACCAAGACTGATCCCTGGGAAGTACAAAGTCTTCTCATTCATCATCACCGGTGTGCTAAATTCATAGTCTTGTCTGTGCAATCAATATCTCAATTACCTTTCACAAAACGTCGTGAAAAATAAATTTGATACGAGGACTGAAAGCTATCTGATAATTTCTTAGAGTAGACGGGAGTCTAGCCACCACATGTCTAGCAGGTATTAGTTTAGGACAGGATTTTATTGACACATGACACTAATCTGTCTTTGCATTTGTTTTTGATTTACCCGAAAAAGAGTAAATTGAACCTAGTTAGGTATATAAAATTTGGCAAACAGAAATAGGCTTTTTAATATATGATTTTTTCCAGTGTATTACAATAGTCTGTGGACGTAAATCACCAGAAACAGACATCTGACCAATAACTTATTAAATTTGCATTCAAATAACTAATTTTAGTGAGTGCAGTAAGTACATGCCTTTTTAGCTGATATCTCATCCTAACATTCACAGTAAGACTTTATTTGTTAAGCTTATTAGTGTTTTTGATATAGGAAATTTTCATGGCACTAATTCATAAGTAAGTGTCCTTTATTTTTACTATGCTGTGAGTATTTGGGATGTTTATTTCTGAGAAATGGAAAAGTTTGATGGCATTTTCACAGCATTCCATCATCTTTCACTACAACACTAAAACTCGTTACATAATTTTGTTTTCCCACAAGGATTTCTGTGTTTGCATTTTAAAAAAATTGCTCTTTTAGAAAATTTTAGATAAATTGCTTATTTTTGTGATTCTTGTTTGAAATACATCAGTGTTATTGCGATATAAGTAATAAATATTTCCTCAGAATTTTAGAAATTATGGTTGGAAGGGACTCCAAGGTTCATATCTTCGTCTAAAAGCAACATCAATGGATTTATATAATTTCTGTGATTTTTGTTCTTCTCATCCATTCTTAAAGCTCTAAAGTTGTAAATTGTATGACTCTTCAAACAAACCTATTATCACTACTGTTGGGAAATACTTTCCTAATATCAAACCTAAATCTGAAACTCTAAACAAATATTGCAAGGGAGCTCCCTGAGGCAGATAAAGATTCTATGTGAGGCAGATAACTTTTATGTTTATAAAATTTTAAAACATTTATAAATGTTTGTGAACTTTTTATGTACACAGCTGTCTTCCGTGCATTTTCCTTCCATGAACTTCTCCTGTGTCACAATGTCAGTTTTTGGCAGTCGCCACGTCATTTGGGAAGCACTGCAGTAGCACTCCTTATTATCTCATATTGTTTGCTTCTGACACTGATTGCTACCAGCTTTGCTCAGTACCTCCACGTCCTACTGCTGGGAGACAGATCCCCCTTTGCTCTCTTCATACCACGTGTCCTTTTAGCTGCCTCCTTCATAATCTCTTAGTTGCTGCTCTTCCACATTTTCCACATTCTACCTGAGTTCCCACTTATTTGGAAGCCACTCTGTATCTTTGGTTGCCTTTATGGTCCTTTCTGAACCTCTTTCAATTCTCACGAATCTCTGATTTATCACTTGAATTTTAATCCTTCCAGGTCAAAGTCATTGGAACATATAAAAAATACTTGTTGTTCCATTAGCTCAGTCATTAATGAAAGCATTTCAGGGAATAAGATTCCCACACAATTTTTTTTTTCATTGTGAAGTAAAACACAACAATTTTCCGGAGTGCAGTCATTCCACCATTTTTATATTCCCACTTTACATTATTTTCACGTACCCTTCCCAGCTCCTTAGCTCGACAAGATTAAAGAAACCTCAAAGCGTTATTAAGGGCAAAATATCAGACATTTAATACTTTTCTCATTCGGCAATATGTATCATTCTGACAGCAAATAAATAACTATTTTGAATTGACACAGTTTAGTACTGACAAAGTCAAGCTGGCAGCTGTTTCCTTGTTGACTTTCATGTGAGTTTCAAGTAGGTCTTGACACTTTCAGGAAGGAGTTGATGGCGCCTAGGTGTTTGGAAGGTACCTGATCATTCTTCAATCTGTTCACAGAGCTTAACAATTTGAATTTGGAATCAAGAGCCTTATCTGCTTTGTTGCAATTGATAGTGATGACTGAAAGAAAACAAAACAAAACAAAACAAAAGGCTTGAAAAAGAATTTGAGGATGTGGTTTGCTTCTTGTGTGCTCTTCTCCCTGTATAGTTGCTATTATTAATGCTTCTTTTTATTTTTCTTAAAGCTCCTGACTCTTCCATTTTCTGTGTTTGACACAAACAAATGACTCTACAGGGCAGGCTTCAAAGGGCAAGAATCCTTTACAAAAAGTGTAAGAAATGTAAATTGAAGTATTAGTACCTCACAGGTTTAGATTATTTTTATTTTTCATCTTTTTTTTTTTTTTTTTCTCGGGGATAACGTGAGAGTAGTAAATCCCCGGTTAAAGCCGGTGAGTCTCGGCTACCCGGCGCCCTGCCTGGGGGCAGGTCTGACAGCCCCGGCGGAGGGGCAGCGCCGGCCGTTGGGCGGCCCCATCCCGGTCCGGTCCGGGAGCTGCCTTTGGACGGTACCTCCCCGCCTCCGGGCCCCGCTGCGAGACCCTCCATGGCCACAACCCAACACAGTGCTCAGCGCTCAGCCGCCACCGACGCCCTCGAGGCGCTTCTGCCTCGCGCTTCCCCGCGTGCCGTTACATGCACCGCCCTCCCGCCCCGCGCATGCGCGCTGCGGCGCTGTCAGGCGCCTGAGCATGCGCAGAGGCGCCTGGGCCGGCGGAGGCTCCGCGCTGCCGCCGCCGCTGCGATGGGCTGAGGGGAGAGGCGGCCGCGGCGGGAGCGCGCGCGCGGCTCCGAGCGCGGCGGCCCGAGGATGGAGAGGGCCATGGAGCAGCTCAACCGGCTCACGCGGTCCCTGCGCCGCGCCCGCACCGTGGAGCTGCCCGACGGTAGGAGGAGGGCGGCCGGGCCTCGCAGCGGGGCGGCGCGGCCTGCCCGGGCCCGGGGCCGGGGCCTGCGCGGGGGCTGCTCCCGGCGGCGCCGCCGCAGCCTCTGCCCCCAGGAGCGGCCCGGGGGGGGGATGACGGGGGCTGGAAACCGGCTCCCCCCTCCGCGGGGCCTTTAATCTATTTATTTAAGCCAAAAGCAGCAGCAGAGGTTTCTCCTTCTTCCTTCTCCTTTGCCCGGTGTCTCGCTGCAGAAGGGCACCCCGGTGCAGAGTTTTGCGCCCCGTTTCCGTGTCTAAAGCGATCCTGTCTTGCATCTGCCCCTGGCAGGGGTATTAGTGATCTGTGGTGTTGGCCCACTGTTTTCTTAGCTAGCTTTAAAACCTCACTTTAGTGCTTTGAGAGGCCACATGCCACCACTGACAAGCTTGTTTTTCTTCATCTAACGCTGCATTTTGTTTTGGCAAAAATATTTTGAGTCACTGTTGCCAGTAAGGGCCAAAATCTTTTGGCTCCAAACTTGTGATGGGTGCTAGCATCAATAGCAGGGTCATGGTGAACTTAAAAATACAGCATCAGGCCTTTATGGAAAACAGTGCAGTTATTTATCTGGAAAGGCTGCACCCGGAAAAGTTTTTTGGAAACGTGGAAGTTTCTGTTTTACGTCTGGAAATGGAGAAGTTTCTGCTCTCCAAGTGCCGTGCTGTCCGTGTATTTTCATCGGGAATTTATTGTTACGGACAAGTCTTTGGCTGCACATCTCCCAACTTCTCTTTCCAGTGTTGTAGGGAAAAGGAGAATATTGAATATTGTGTTTTCTTTGAACTTTCTCTGTTTTGGACCTTTCCCCTACTGTTAGCTGTTGCTGAGGAAGTGCCAGCCTTCACCACCCTTTTCTTGTTGTCTGTCTCTAGTGAATAGTTTCAGTGCCTGCCAGTGCAGTTGCTCTTAAATTCCACAAAATTATAGAAAAGATTCATATGGATTTTGCTGTTTGTAACCTCATGAATTATGTTTTTTTTTTTTTTTTTTCCCCTGTATGTTTGAATAGTTTTAACTGGAAAGATGGAGTATTTATTTATACTCTTTGCACTTAGTCTGTGAGCTATAGTGCTCTTAGTTAATGGAGATGTGTGTTGGCAGTTCCACACATTGAAGAAGGGACTAAATCCAGACACTTAACAACTTGTGCCTGTTTCAGGTACCATTAGGATATTCTGTGTACCAGCAGGGTATTCCGTGGGTACTTTTGGCACACCTTCCTTAATGTTGTGATCCCTGCCAAAATTGAGACACTTTATGCTATAAAACAAAATATTATGTGCATTTTGTCAGGGGAGGATTCGAGATGATTGAGTTTAGGCAATTTTTAAGTGCATGTGAACTCTTGACTCCCAGCCAGTGAATACGTAGAGCTGATCTTACCAACAGGAAATAGTATTTATTTTCTCATCACTCTTCTGAAGAAACCTCCAGCAGGCATTTTTGGATGATTAAGAACTTGGCACAAGTTCCTGGATTCTATTTTTAGGGCCCAGTGCTAGGAAAGTCAAGCTTTGCATTTGCATTTTTTTTTTCTTGCTTGTTTTGTTTGGGTATTCATGACTTGAAATGCAAACAAGTTAGGTTAGACGTAAGTTCTGAGAGACCATTACGTGTGTAATGTTTCTTATTTCCCTTGTGTCATGTAGCTTTACTTTGAGTCAGTAGGAGTTTGTTTTTGAAGGAAAATAGTATTTACCAAAAACAGTCGAGGAGGCTTCTTAGTTCTTTAATTCTTTACAGACAAAAACTGAAAACCTCTGCGTATGCCCTGCAGTGTAGCCTCCTTTAAAAAAATAGTGAAGAGCTTAGTGTTGTAACTATCCCATAAGCACCTTTTATGTTCTGGCTATATTCAAATTTATTATCTCTTTTTAAATCGCTATGCTTGCACAATAGTTAAGTTTAATTAAGATCATCTTAAGCATTTGTGTTAAATGCATTCTTTTTCCTTGTCTCTATTGTTTAGTAGGACATGGTTGTGAGGATACACAAGAATATCATGCTTATATTTAATTGATGCTCTCAGGTTCAGTGTTTTAATTAGGGACCTTTCTCTTCCTGCCAACAAATCTGTGAAACACAGCCCAAGCAATATTTAATTGTTATTATTTTCTTTGGATATATTATGAGCCAATCCTGCATGCAGTAAAAATAATGATGGAGTGTTTTCTACAAGTGAAAGAGTCATTGCTCCCAACAGTGTACTTTGCTTTTTGCTGCCAAGCACTGCCTACCAATTCCTGTAGGAACAAGTGTATCTGCTTTGGAAGTACTGACAGAAAGTGTGTATTAATTGAATGCCAGTTTGTTTCCACCACTGATATGTATCTTGATCCGTTCTGGCCTTTCTCCTTGCCTTTGGACTAGGGATGTGAAAAGAGGTGGCTTTTTCTTTATAATGTAGTTGTAGGTACCTAAAAATAACAACAACAACAGCAGCAATAATAATAATAATATGGTGAACCATAGGCACTTTAAAAGGTGAATAAGTATTGCTGAACAAACTTATTATACATAAGATACTGCTTTAGAATAATGCAGTAATTTCCTTTTACACAGATAATGAAACTGCTGTCTATACGTTGATGCCAATGGTTATGGCTGACCAGCACAGGTGAGAGCTGTTTTTTTTAAAATTAGTTTTAAATTAATTAATTTTTATTTTTCTTAAGGCCCTAAGAAAGAGCATGTTTGTTGTAGCTGCAGCTGCTAGAGCTCTTTCAGGAGTTCTGTGTCGGAATTGTGCAGGGTCACAGAGATATCTTCTACCTGAAGCTGGTCTGTTTGTGCATTCCTGTTTACTGCTAACTGAGTGGCCTTTTGGAGTTCAGAATTAGAAATGTATTGTGCTTTAGACAGGTGATAAATGTGGAAAAATTTGGTTGAGGATGAGATGAAGTTACAACTTTGTAACGAAGCAATGCTTCAAGTATGTGTTTACTGATGATATAAAAGCTCTTAGTTGCTGGCTAAGAAAAATGTGGGTAACAATTAGATAATAAGATTGGTGCTTCTAGAACTCCCTGGAAGTTTCTGTTCCCCGAGTATTGATTGCTTGGGGCCTGGGGGCTGTTGTGCCAGTTAAGCAGTGCTGCCTTCTACTGCACTCTGGAAGCAAGCAGGTAGCACCTACTAATGAGTTTGTAAATCACATATATGATTGGGGTAAAATATTTGTTCTGCTACATAATATCCTGCTGATGTTGTATACAAAGTTTTTAAATTGTGTGATTAGCTCATTGCTGCAGGCTAAAGCATCACTTCACCTCTAGTCTGGTCTATTTATAGAGATGTTTAAACTTATGCCATGGTCCGTTAAAGCTTGAAAGATTCTATTAAAATTTCATACCCTGTTACCATATCATGTGTTTCCCTTTATTATCATGATCTCATGTATCGGTCTTCCCTCTAAACTTTGCCTATGACTTATGAAAGCTTGTGGATATCTGGATAGGATGCCTTTGTGAGATAAGAAAACAGGAATTTACAGTTTTTCAGATCCAAGTTAATGATGTGCTTTTCTGTATCTGAAAAGAAATGTCTTGATCACCTGGTCCAACTCTAGCTAGCTTACAATTGAAACACCTTCCCAGTGTTTCAAAGCTTGTCTTTATGAAAACAGGGAAGTAGTGAAGCGTAAAAGTATTGTTAATATGCAGATGCTCAAAAGCTTTTGTATCTCTTGTTCAGAAGTTAGCTGGAGGAAAAATAAGTTGAAAGAAAATAAGTAATATTATGAACTGCTTTTTTTTTAATTAAAATTATTTCTGTTTTAAGGTCTGTCTCAGAGCTTCTATCAAATTCAAAATTTGATGTGAATTACGCATTTGGACGAGTGAAGAGAAGTTTGCTTCATATTGCAGCAAAGTAAGACTTGTTTGAGTCCAATCCAGAAGTTAACAGTGAAAGTATTACCACAAATCTCGGGCACTAATGTAAGCTGGAAAACTCTGTAGTATCAGTTAACTGTGTTTTTTTTTTTCTTTTTTCTTTACATTCCTTTTTGTATTTTTTATTTTTTTAGTTCCTTTCTATTGAAAGGACAGTTTGTATATATGGTATGAAATGACTTATGGGAAGTCTTTTTTTTTTTTTTTTTTTTTTGATTAAACTTTCAGAGAAAGTAAAAAAGTAAATTAAGAAGTGTAGCCACTGCACTTGATAGCAAACTTGCCCATGCTTTTCTAGATTTAGGAAAGTCTTGTCTGCCCAACCAGGAGCTGCATGCTTTTTTGTAGTATTTTGACATGAGTGGGGGAGCATGAGGATACTCATTGGAAGCAGCTGTCCCAGATCACTTTGTGTCCTGAATTGAAGGAAACTTGATTGTTCCGTAACTTTCTGTACCCTGGATAAAGTATTTGGCTGGAAATTTCAAAGTGGTCACCTAGATTGACTTATTCATCTGACTTTAGTTATGAAATATGCATATTTACAGCTCTTCCCTGGGATAAATCCATATTTCCTAGAAATACCGTGATTAACGTCTGAGTAACGAAATAGTTTTTGAAAGCACTTTGCTGAATACTGACTTAAAACTGATAAATAAATGCTTTATATTTGAGTTCTATTCTAAATGTCATGATATTCTTGTATTTAAACTCCTGCAAAAGAAAACTGAAGAAATGTTTTAAATGTGTATATGCTTTCTGCAGTAGCAAGGTTTGGGGCACACTAAAGACAGAGCTTTTTTAAACAGGCCCTTTCAGAAATTTCTTTTTTTCTGAACATTATATCTCAGAGTTATAATCCTTATATAAAATTTACTTAGCAGAAGAAATAAAAGCTGATTTTAACTTATATCTGGAAAACTTCCTTGAAATGTTGCCGTCTGGTTGATTGTGGGAGACTTTGCAAATGTCTTCTGTTTCTTTAGTAAATGGAACTGTATTTTATTATTTCTAACTTGTGGATTCTCTCATATCTTGACTGTCTGTTAGGTATCTCATTAAGATGTTGTTTTTGCAAGTTATTTATTTTACAACTAGACTCTATTTTTTCTGTCTGCTATGGAATTAGTTGTGGAACTGATGAGACTGGTAATAGTGGCTAAGCCAGTCAGGAGGAATACCAGAGAAGCCATAATGTTTATAGTAATCGGCTCCTTCTCCTGGGGAGTTCAGGAGCAAGATTAACATCTAATGCAAAGTTTCTGCATCATAGCTGACAGTGGTTACTTGGAAGAAGATAGATAGGGATTCAAAGCAAACAGAAATCATTTTATGAGCTTTAGATCTTTTTTCTGTTATTTAATCTTTTAAATGCAGTTTCTAAAAACTGAAATGTAACAAAAAATCATGCTGGAATTGTTGTTTAGTGAACATTTCAGTCCTGTGAATAGAATAAGAATGAAGGAGATGAGAGACTGTAAACAAAATGTTCAGAAAAAAACACATTTTAAGCAGTTTTCAGTTTAAACGTTTAACAGTTTTGAAGATTCCTTGTTGGGTTTTGAGGTCACTCAAAACCAGGTTAGGTTAACATCCTTTTGTGCTGGATGTAATCTGTACTTGATATTGTTATATGCATGTCAATAATAGACTTGGTTTTAAAATATCTTTGTTACAATTTTTCCCTTCTTTATCCATTCTCAGTTGTGGATCAGTTGAATGCCTTGTCCTATTGCTAAAAAAAGGAGCAAATCCAAATTATCAGGACATTTCAGGATGCACACCTCTTCATTTAGCAGCAAGAAATGGGTAAGAAAAATATTTTTGTTCTTTCCTAAAATGTACAGCATGCACTTCAATTAATATGTTCTGTAGTATTTTTGCATAGATTAAACACTTTTTTTTTCTCGTTCAAGAAATGACACATTTACAATGAACTGGAATTTGAAATTCCTTTAAATAATCAAAACATAATTTTATATGTAAGCAAATTTATCTGAAGTGCCAATAATTCTAGAATTATTTCAATGTTTTCTGTTAGTCAGCAGCTGCATGTTGAGGTTATTTGACTTTGACTAACATGATGATTCTATTTCAATCAAAGTATGAATTTACCTTCCAGTTAATTAAGTAAGAAAATACTTAGAAGAGAAAACTGGAAGGATTTTTGCTGATCATATTATTACCAAGTAAATGTTTCCAAGAGAACTTTTTCTGCAGGGAGAGGAATACAAAACTTGCATGTGCAGTATTAAGGTGAGGGGGGCAGCAAAGATGGTGAGGTAACTCCTTATACTTAGTAATGAACTTCAGTTACATTACTGATTGTCTAAAAATGCATGTTTAAATGAAGAATTTTACAGTAAAAAACGCTTAAGTTTCTCTTTTGTGCTTGTCTCTCTGTTCCAAGTTTTAAAGGCTCCTGGGAGATACCAAGTTTATAGGAGAGCATACTATACAATTCAGGGCAATGTGTGAGACATGTTAATGTGTATGACAATGAATAAAAGTGGTCATCTGCAAAGGAATGGAATTATACAACATAAGTCACATACAAAAGAACTGGACAGGAAAATGCAGAAAAACCATCAATGTATGCCCTATATAGATACATATATATATGCAGAGAGAGAGAAATATATAATACACACAGATGTCTGTCTTGAAGTATATAGTTGTAATATTTTTCAGTAGAAAGGTGGTCTTCAAGATTATCTGCAATACAGGGGCTGATTCTGGGAGTAGATTTTTTAAAAAATATTTTAATATTAATAAATGACTAAAATGCGCATGAAGCTAGTTTGTACTGCTGAACTCCATTTGTACCATCCGCTATCTCTTTTCTACCACCATCTATTTTGTCATGATTTCGACTGTTATGTCTACAGATTTCTCACATTTAGATTGCTGCTGCTCACTTGCTATAATGCTACTTCTGGGAAGCCTTTGCGTCGCTATTTCTGAGGTGACTGTGAATTGAATAAAAAAGGAGAGAGGTGGAAGAATTCATTAAGCATAATGCATTCATAATGCTTGCTAGATGCTCTCTGAGACAAATACCAGGTTCTTATTTTGATTTGCAAGAGATTTTTTTTTTCCTTTTTTCCTGTTAAAGAAGCTCTAGCTTCTTTAAATTGACGCTTTAGCTTGAATTAACTTTGTATTTTCAACTGCATAAAATATTTATTTTGAAAGCAAAGTTTCACAGTGTTAAAAATAAACCAGGTTCAAACTCTGAAGCTAGTGATGGCTTTTTTGAAAACCTGCTTAAGTGACACGTGAAATTTGTTTTCAGTAAAAGTTGGCCAAACTACCATGTCTTTATAAAGAAAGGTTCTTAAGATATTGTTTCTCGAACTACAGTACATGGAGACAGAGATGTTGTTTTTTCATTTTGGAGCATGTGTACAGTAACACCGAATTATAGTAGGGTAAATACTTCAAGTATTTGAAGAGTGGGAGCTATTGAGTGGCTGTTAGGTCCTATGTGGAAAGGGAGAAGGAGCCAGTGGTACATGATCAAATGTAGAAATTTACAGGGGATACTTGTGTGGAAGGGAAATAAGAGAAAGGTCTGAGAGATAAAAGATAAAAGAAAGATTTTTTTAAAAAGGAAGAATTTTTTTTTTTAAAAAAGGAAAAAGTAAGAATCAAACTCTTTAATAGTAAAGTGTTTACAGAACTAGAGAACATTAACTGACCAACAATATATGAAATAGGAAGAACACCTCCACTGCTGTGAAGGCAGTTATAGTTGTTGAGAATCTATTAAGTGTTAATTGTGAGTCTCTAAATAATGATGTGGTGGTGTCCTAAAGATGTATGTTCACTGAAGTGTGCTAGTGGTGGTCATGAACTTCATGGATTTCCATTGCTTGAACTCCAGCTTCTTGTCTTCAGGGTGTAGTTCATGCTCAGCTGAAGCTGTTTAAATAGTTAAGTACTTCTGTGCTCTACCCAAAACCATTCAGCTGCATGATTATCATCCCCCCACACACACTTGATGTCATGTACCACACTTGCATTGTATGAATCTTCTCTGTTATTAATGATTATTGCTTTTTTTAAAATGCTCAGTATTGTACTCCTTAAAAAAAACCTTCCAGCTGTGGTTTATACATGGGATGGGTTAGGGGAAGGAAGACTGAGAAGATACTTGCTCCCTGTAAATCCTTTTGCATGACTGGGATTTTTTTTTTTTTTTTAATTTATTGTTTGTTTTATTTGATTTTTGTTTTTTTCAGCCAGAAGAAATGTATGAGCAAGCTGTTGGAATATAGTGCAGATGTCAACATTTGTAATAATGAAGGCTTGACTGCAGTAAGTACTTCTAATTTTAGTGGGGCGCTTGAAATAAATACAAAGTGTGAGGACTGATTTCTTTAGCCTCCCCTTAAGCCTCTTCTATCGTGCATGTAAGTGTGCCTAGTACCTTTTAGAATCGAAACATGTTCCAAATATCTAGCCATGATATGATGATCTTAGTCAAGGCTTGTCTTTGTGAAAAAGTTGTGACAATAGCATAGTCAGTTTTAAGGTCATATTTATGAAGTACTGATATCAGTAGTAAAGGAAACACGTATATATATTTGTATTTAGATTCATTGGTTGGCTGTGAATGGCCGCACAGAATTGCTTCACGATCTTGTGCAACATGTCAGCAATGTAGATGTGGAAGATGCAATGGGACAGACGGCGCTCCACGTAGCTTGTCAAAATGGCCACAAGACAGTAAGTTTCTAAACATTATAAACACATGTTAAAGTTGCTAGAATTTGGATATTGCTTTAGTTTTTGTTCTTCCTTTGTTTTATTTCTACTATGATCTTTGGAAATGTGAAGAATTCTATTTTTGATAGTAATTGGTATGGACTGCATACAGTTCTATGAGAACAACTAGTTCCAGCATTTTTGATATTAGCTGAATTCTATTAAAGGCATTGTTATTAAAATGGGAAATTATGAGAAGGCTTTGAGCAGTAACAGCCATGATCCTCCATCTAATGCTTAGGAATTTTGATTTTGTGATTCATTACTGGAAATTAAATCCTTGAGTACAGTTAGAGGTGAATGACACTAAATAATTGCAAGCTAAGAGGTGTTTCTGTTGATATCTTTCTAATGCTGGTGTCTTCTTCTATCCCAAATAGACAGTGCAGTGTTTGCTAGACAGCGGTGCAGATATTAACAGGCCCAATGTGTCAGGAGCAACTCCGCTGTATTTCGCTTGCAGGTATCGTATTCCTGACTTCTCAGTGCTGACTAGAAAAATACAGAGTATTTGGGGAATGCACAAGTGCAATAACAGAATTATTAGAAAGGACTAAAATGAGGAAACGTAAAAGCTGACTTGTATTTAATTGTGCCTCGTGTTTGGATGCAGTTTGATGCTTTATCTAAGTGCTTATCTTTGCACTGCGGCCTGATGTACCTAACAGACATGTTGAGTACATAGCTGTGTGTGCTCTAGCATGAGACATAAATCAGACGACTGGACTTTTCTCTATAAAAAATGAGATCTACCAACCCAGGCTATTTAGCATTTTTCTCTTTTTCTATGGCTATTTAAAATCGGGGAATTCTTAAGATAAGGATTTGACAAGCTTTTCGTCTTGGGTCAATATTCTTTGCAAACACTGCTCAGATTGTTAAGCAGTGATAATCTTCCTGGCTCTTCCTTCCCCTACCATTCAAAAATGTCAGTCCACCAGGCATTTTTAAAATACCTTCTAAATCAGTGATCAATGTGTTTATGGGAAGACTATGTATGTATGTATGTATGTTGAAAAATAGGAGTAGTTAGGTTAATGATTACTACATCAATTTATTAAAAAAAGACAGAATGTGACTAATCTTTAATGTATGCTATGTCATTATATATATGACATTATATATGTCATAAAATGTATATGTGTGCCTTGAAGATGTAACATTGGCCTGAAATCATTTTGTCACAAGTCAGTTCTGTTTTCTTCATTGTTTAGTTTTATTTCAAAACTAATCGCGTATGATTAATGATGCATTGTTTTAATTGGAGCCTTACAGCTATTTGTTAGACATTTACAATTCTGTAATCCCTATGCTTTGGTTGCAGGTTAAATAGTTCACCTGTGATTAAACACAGGTGTAAATAAAGGAAGAAATGGGCTGCCCTGGTGGGCTGCTAGGGGTGAGGTTGTGGGAGCCCTGGTCTCCGGAGCTCGTGTGCTGCTGCTTGGCAGCTGAAGGGAGGCCCTTTAACGAGTGTTTAATGTGGGGACTGCTGTGGGCACCTGCTCTAGAAGAAGGTGGGAACTTGCTTCAGCCCCAGGCTTTTCGTGAGAAAGGAACGTGTTGCAGAAAAGAACACGCTGGTGGTTCTTTTAGAAATGAAAAACTGGAGGAATTGGAAAGGTGGGATGAACAGCGTGTGTAGTGGAAGCCAACGCCTGCTGCTATCACAAGTACCGGTTGATGCTGCCCGGGAAGAAAGGCTGACGCTTCTGCTGTCTGAGCCTGAGTGTTTCTTGAGGCCAAGTCTAGTATGTTAGGTTAATCTGTTGGCTTCCTGAGCTGGAAGGACATGGCAGAGGAGGACACAGTCGGGAACTGCTTAGAGCCCAATGAAGGCACCTCTTGCCCTATAGCTGTTAATTGTCACTTGTGCTCTGATCTCCTGGAGCTGTTAGCATTAGAGGCCCAGGCATTCCGGTATGGCAAATACAAGATTGTGTAAGAAGCAACCACAAACTAGTTTATGACCTCGCACACAGTTGGAAAGCTTGTAGCTGTTGCATTAATATGTCTTTGGTATCCTTATTTTGTTTTTATTAGTTGGATAATGTAGAAGCAGAATTACCACTCTTGGATGAAGTGCTTCATTAACTTTTTTTTTTTTTTCTATTTATTTATTTCTTTTTAAATAGTCATGGTCAGAGAGACACTGCACAAATCCTTTTGATGAGAGGAGCCAAGTATTTACCAGACAAAAATGGTGTTACTCCATTGGATCTCTGTGTTCAGGTATTGAGAAATTTTTTTTTTAACTTCTATTGTTTTATCCAATTGTAGCTGATTAATGTTGTCTATGTTGTCTAGGCTTGTGAAAGATTATAGTTCTTTTGCAAAACAGAATTGCAAAAATAATTTTCAGTTGTTAGGTCAGTGATTCCCAGTTTGTTTGCGAAAATCTTTAATGATATCCATTAAAGTCTTTAAAGGCTTCATGAAATTGAAGAAATAGAGTTTGCAGAACTGTTAGATTGGGAAGTTAGGAATTCTTTGTCGGATGGTGAAAAGCTCTGTGTGTGTGTGTGTGTGTGTACGCTTAACGGTTAAAGCAAGAGATGAAGATACTCAGAAAGGAGTCGTTTTTATTACCTTAACAAATGTTTTAATTTTCTCTTGAAGCAATGCTACTATAAACAAATAAAATCATGCTGCTGATTTTTCCAAGGTATTCTAAGTGCTATACCTGCGTGATTCCTTAAAATTCCTTATTTTCTTTTAGCATCTGTAGTTGAAGTAGCTATATTTATCTGATGGTGACTGCTGTAGAGAATAATTAATCAAGACCTTCAACAGCTAGGTTTTCAGAATTAATTTAGATTATGAACAGCATTTCTTTTTATTGACAGCGTTCCTTTTTATATCTATGAGAAATCTTAAATCCTCAGCTTCAGTCTTCAGTCTGTTTTTTTTCCTTTGCTTTTGATCTGTCCCTAGAATATTAAGGATAATGCTCCTTAGTAGGAATAACAATTTCGAATTTCAAGCCTTGCAAAGGTGTCAGGTTCCAGAATTCACACTGGCATTAGTTAGTGTGGATCTGCTTGTCTGTGAATGCAGTAAGCTTGGTGCCAGCAGCAAAGAAACCAGCTCTTTTCATTTCCAGAATAGCAGGTGGGAGAGAGAGAGAGAGAGAGACTAAAAATATATAATCAGATGATTTAAGAGTATAATTTCTT